AGGATTCACTAGAGACTTGTTTATGTAGGAAACTATGTGGCGTTTGGGGGGGGGGGATGAGATCTTGGTACCCTCCCCCCGGAGGGCCCCAAAAAAAGTTTTGGGGGTTACACACGTGTTCGCGCCTACGGAAAAAAATCCATATTTTTTTGTTATGCAGACATTTGTTGTTGTTTTGTTTGTTTGTTTTTCTTCACATTAAACTCGTGTCAGTTGCTAATCCCAAAATCTAGCAAAGACTCGGCCCGTGGTCACAAAAATGCTAAAGCCATCAGAAGATCTAAAGAACACGCACACTATTAGCAAGAAAAGGGTACACAAGCCCAAGGAGGTACACCTACAATCCCTGCAGCACGTTTACGTGCTCACAACTGACCTACACGCCCACACACTGCAATTCGACTACAGCAGGCGGCATCGCCCCCCTTGTCCCGCACTTCACCAAAATGAATGTTTGTCGACTACAGCGTACTGCTGTCTGAAGTGCTGTCTGCACAAAAATAACACCATGGTGTATGGTGCACAACAAGCTCGGGGCATGCAGCTGCTGTCTGAAGTGCTGTCAGAATGGGTCCGTGGACATACAATGAAGAAGAACAACCAACCAAAGCCATCATCATTGCACTTGACAATCGCCCGAATCTATCCAGATCATCTGTGTTAGACACAGCAGTGTAAACATCGACACTGACTAGGAATCGTTCCACATTGAAGGGGTCTTCCACGATGCAGGTACACAATTAAGGCACCCGGGTTATCCGCGCCATCTCTGCCGCGTCTCTCTACAAAACCAGTGACGTCATCACACATACCTAACACCTATATTCAGGAAAAAAACAGAGAATAATTGATAACACAAGAGATGTTTGTCCGTGCGACACGGTTCGATGCCGTCCGGCTGCTCCGGTTCCGCTGCTGCTCCGGTGCCGCTGCTCCGGTGCCGCTTCTCCGGTGCCGCTGTGGCCAGTCCTAGCACGACCAAACTCGACCCGCTCCGCTTCGTACACGCTCTCGTTGCTGTCCTTCCCAGTCGGTTCCTCGCTTTCTCCCTCGTTGCACTTAGGGTTCTTGGTCTGAAAATTCTCGCGCCGAAGGGTCAACCAGCCCAGTCAGCTCGTCACCACCTGTCCACTCCTCATTTGATGGCAAAACCAGGTTACTGAGACAGTACAGCTCCCTCTAGCAAACATAGGGCCGTGTACATAGTGCCCGTCCACCTTTCTGGTGGCGTCTGCCTCCGCGCACAAAGATGAGATGGGCATTGCTGCCTGCACCGACGGCCTCGAGGCCCGCGCATCTGCACCTTTGTACCTGACGCACCAGTGCCGACCCAACTCCACCACTACGCACGCCTCGCGGCGGGTGCGCCGTAGCAAGAAGGTATCGGTCCCTTGAGGGTGAGTCTAGCCCTGCTCGCTAGAAAGGCCCCCCCCCTCGCTTTGGGTCATGCCTAAGCAAAACCTTGCCGAGGCAGCGAGGGGAAGAAGGGAGTTACAAATCCTGGAATCACATCGGGAAGCAGTCTCTCCGCGCAGTGTTTTCGGTTATTCTGCCACAACTCGCGCTGTAGTGCTGATCCCAATTCGTGCACATCATCTATGGATTGCCCACATGTAAAGACACACACACACCAATTTTCGTGAGATTTGGTCCACCCTACGTGGGTAACCAAAAGGCATCTAGGTGCGGTGCGTGCTTCCATGGCTTGGATTACCATGATATTTTTGGAGGTAGGATCATGATTGTTCTGGGGCCTCTCTGCTGACTACTGGAGTTAGAGTTGAATTTAGGCCGACTTTTGCAGGCCCACTGCCATCGCTGTAGTTCAGATCCCAAACCATGCACATCATACATTCATTCTATGGTCTTTCATCTCTACTATGGCGCGGAGTTTTGGCCGAATTGGGACTCTGAAGCGGGTAACCAACTTGGATGATAGTTGCTTCCCAGAGCTGAAAAGGTTGCGTGCAGCAGCAGGCAGGCAGCTTCAACTCAGATGTGATCGCGAGACATTTCTCCGGCTCAAAGCAAAATCAAAGGGTGAAACCAGCTTTCCGATAGAGGGTATGACTTGCTTGAGGCGCCCGCCTGTTTTGGTGAAACGACAAGGTCTGTGTAAGGGGCACGCGGTGGTGAAAGAACTGGGCTCGGCCATGTCCAATATGGGGAGGGGATGAAACAAAATTGACCCCGCTGAAACCGGCGGCGTGATTTCTTGTCTGTACTTTTTTCTCAATTCCTATAGGCGCGAACACATGTGGTTAGCTGTCGGAATTTTTTTTTTGTGCGCCCTTGTCCAGATTCATGAGCCTAACAAAGTGTAAGATTGAACGAAGGAAATCTGGGGTTTGTGGCGCGGGACTGAATCGTACAGTGGCAAGGTAGGCAAGAAATTGCGGGGAAGTTTCATCGGGAGATTGGATGAGCACGGTGGTGATGACGTACATATTGGAGTACAACTTGAGCAGCTGCAGCAAGAACCAATAATAAGAGTGCACACTGCAGCTGCTCCTGTGAGACCAAGGGGCGATCTGCCGTAGAGGTCATCGCGTGTGTGTTAGGTAAAGGTCAGGAGTGGGCTTCCGCTAGGTCATTGGCCGGAAAACCCTCCCGCCCTCCCTCCCGGGTTTTCGTGAAGAGGACCAGGGGTAGCGAGATGAGTTGTGACAGCCTGCCTAGGTTTACGTCTGTGTGTGGTGTATGTATGAGGAACCCGGGCAAGATTTGGCGTGGGGTACGCCCGGGTGACGAGATGAAGTCGTGGGGGTCCACGACTCAAAAATAATAAAAACTCCAGATTCAGGAGCGTGGAGGTGATGCATATGTGATAAAAAAACGCCAAACACATGAATCAGTACTTGCAGAGAACGACAGCAGCACAGCGTACCGGGCATTTGATGCGTTCTGTTTGCATGCAGAGCTACATAATGGGTCAACTGACTCACCGTGCGCGTTCCTCTAGTCCCCTTCCTGGTCGATGGGGGTTGTCCACCATGACGGTCGCCCACCCTCGTCCGTTTGTCTCTGTGGACCAGTTCCTGGGCCGGGCCCTCACGCTCCACAGCAGTCCTCGACGACGCGGTAGCCCTGGCTGGTGTAGCGTGCGAATCGTTAGTAGGTATCGTCTTGCTGCGGGCTTCACGATCGGGGCGGTCTGGCGTGAAGGGGACGATTAGAGAGTGTGTTTTGCGCACGAGAGCTATGGGTCAACTGACTCACCGTGCGCGTTCCTCTAGTCCCCTTCCTGGTCGATGAGGGTTGTCCACCATGACGGTCGCCCACCCTCGTCCGTTTGTCTCTGTGGACCAGTTCCTGGGCCGGGCCCTCACGCTCCACAGCAGTCCTCGACGACGCGGTAGCCCTGGCTGGTGTAGCGTGCGAATCGTTAGTAGGTATCGTCTTGCTGCGGGCTTCACGATCGGGGCGGTCTGGCGTGAAGGGGACGATTAGAGAGTGTGTTTTGCGCACGAGAGCTATGGGTCAACTGACTCACCGTGCGCGATCCTCTAGTCCCCTTCCTGGTCGATGAGGGTTGTCCACCGTGACGGTCGCCCACCCTCGTCCGTTTGTCTCTGTGGACCAGTTCCTGGGCCGGGCCCTCACTCAGGCGGACAACCCTCATCGGCAAGGAAGGGGACTAGAGGAACGCGCACGGTGAGGCTATGCCGTCCTCTCGGGCAGCAGCCGTGCCAAGTAGACCCGCTTCAACCCCATGTGGGCCTTGCCGGCATCGAGGGAGGCGCTGGCGGCTAGTCTTCTTCCTCGTCCGAGGACAGCTCGGCAGTGGTAGACTCGTCGGGAGCCCTGAGCTTCCCCTTTGTATCAGTCTCCGAGTACTGAACATGGGCGCGCTTCCTTGTGCTGCGCCTAAGCGTAGGGGCAAGACTTGGGGCAGAAAAAATCATTAATCTTCGGCAGACCCTGCTGTTGCTGTTGTTGTTGCTGTTGCTGCTGCTGCTGCTGCTGCTGCTGCGAGGCCTCCGCGCCCCGGGGCTTCGACATTGCTGCCCCGCTGGCGCTCACAGCAGGCGGCTTCGCTGCGCCGTCGGGCCCCGTGGCTCCGCCCCGACATTTATCGGCGCCGTACCCGCTGGCGCTGGAACTGACACTTGACGATCCTGCCAACACCGGCGACTGTCTTGTCCCCTGCTGCGGGGGACGTGACGGGCGAAATAACCCAAGTTGTTGGAACAATGGACGGCGGTAATAGCGTCGTGCCTTACACTGCATGCGTAGAGGGATGAACAGGAGGTAGACTGGGTGAGTTTTGATTCGGAAAAATGTCTTCGGTGCCGGGTACGCACATCGACTGGGAACTGGGTAGCATTGTACTGTTGAGGCTAAGCATCAAATTCCCTTCGGCTGCACCAGAGAATACATCTCGACGATCGCCGGACGCTCTGGCTTGTCCAAAGCGGTACGTGTGTGACAACACTAATGCTTGTGTGGTCGTCCTTTTACAGATCGTCAACAGCCACGTTTGACCTTTAACCCCCGGAAGGTATGTACACCGCGTGAGAGAAAAGAACACCCCCTGACGAGTGATTAAAAGTTGGAGCAACGGCAACAAGAACATCAGAGCCCATCGGACGCACGGTGGGACTGCTACTACACACAAGCACACCCCTGAACAAGCAATATTTTAATCTCCACGGAGCTGGCGAGTTCTCATTCCGCCCACCAAGCCAACCCTCTGCCACACCCTCCTGAAGGTGTGGTACACAGGAGCGTTCACAAATGCAACGGACGGCACGCCTCTTCGATACAGCGTCTCATTGCTCGTTCTATTTCGAGGAGCTCTCCCTTCGTTTTGCTTCCTTGAGCATAAATACTAAGGTCACAACCCAACCGAATGAAAATCAGGTTTTCTCTACAAAGAGACGACACATTCCGGCCGTCGTTGTTTGGTTTCCATTTCCCACAGCCACGATGAAGGCGCAAGGAGATCTTGAAGGTGAGTCACTTCGACTTCCAGAAGAAGTACCCGACTGCAAGGGAAATTACCCCACCCACGTGCAACCTGTTGACAGTGCCAAAAGAATGTCGTTGGTATCAAAAAGAGATCCTTGACGGCCAAAATAAGATCGACCCTAGACAGTGAACACCCCATCGCATCATCTCGTGCCTCCTCTTCATGTCAACGCCCAACGCAACCGCAAATAGAGCTCTCAGCGCACCGCGAAAACCACAAACCGGTCACAACGTTGTTCTTGTTTGTGTCCCAGGGCCCACCTGTACGTCCGAAACTGCTGTAGTCGGATGCCGCATCGACCTTGGAGCGACGTTCTGGCCTGTCGTAGAGGTCTTCCGGCTCCACACCCTCCCGTGCCTGTCTCGCTTCGGCGGCCGCTGCCGCCGCACCGGCGGGCTGCTTGACCCCCAATGGGATTCAACACAGCAAGAAAACAAGAACGAGAGAGGCAGGGCGAACAGCGAGATATAAGCTTGGTGGACCAAATTAAGATGAAAACTCGTCGACTGGTGCCCCCTCCCCATGCAGTCAACCCCCAACACAAACACACCGCAACACGTGCCACACATTTCCTTGCATCGCTTCGTTCGGCTTGTTCGTGTTAGGCTTGGTCCTCTTCCGTGTCGGACTGTCACCGATTCCACCACCGCGCCCTCGCTTGACGGCTCTGATGGTCCTTGGGCGTTTCTTCTGTACGAGGACTACGGCATACGTGGGCACGCAGCAGGATAGAGGCGTGGTGTCATTTCCCGCCCACCCACTCCTGTTGGCTTCGAAGGTGTTACGTTACCAAGGCATACTACGTTGCCTTTGGTTGGACAGAAAATAGCAAAGATCTGCACCCCCGCACGATAACGTAGCCTGGGGTGTGTAAACCAGGAACCAGTGATCTCTCTGCCGCTCCATCTCAGACGCAATCGAATCCAGTTGCGCATGGCATGGTCACCCAGCGGTGTGGTTTCCTACGGGCACATCTTGGCCCGCGGACAAGACGACGTACATGTAGGAGAATAGAGAATACTCTGAACTCTGAAGAGAGGGGCCTCACAGTTCGTCGGAGGGCTACTGTAGAGTAAGTACCTCTCCAGACCTGAAATCAGGCACGGTGCCCCAATTCCGTGACCTGTCTATCGCAATCTTACACAGTACTGTCAACATCGTAATATAATCTGAAGCCTGAGATCGCAGGGTCCTCAGACGGCTCCAGTCCCACGGAAAGAGCCGCCTTGTGGTGAAATCTCGCCGGTTGTTCGGCTACGCACATGTAGTCTAGTCTAATTCCAATTTGCAAACCCTGCACAAGGGTGGATTGGGGGAGTTTTTCCACCGAACGGCGCTACACGTATAGGCTAATGTATGCATACGCTTTTTGGGGTGGAACCTTGCAGAAGACCTACGTCCAGCAGCAGTGTTTTTAGCTTTTTGTCGAACCCTTTGGTGTTAAGGAGGACCCGATTCGCAGGGTATCCGTCGATTGACTTTTACCAGAATCGGTACACCTTCGCATTGGTGTGTGTACTCACAACGCTCAGATCTGTCTCCCTCACACTGCTGTACGGCAACGTGACCTACTGCTGTACAGCCCTGCACAGCAGTCCGTTGGATTGCGACAACGCTGTCCCAGGTCCCTCCTCTCTCCTGGCGGTAGCTACAGTGGCTGTGGGGGTATCATCCATCGATTATCAGTGTATCATCCCCAGCAGATGTACGTGGAAGTACATAGTGAAGCGGAATATCGACGGTTTGAAGCATCGAATCATCGTGCACCTCGCGACTCACCTCTATCGCCCTGCTGTCGCTCATCCCTGGACCACCACAGGAGATTCGTGGCACTAAAATCGACACCTTCCCCAGCTATACCATTCGACCCACCATGCATGCCACAGAAACCACCGAGGTTCCCGAAGCTCTGTGTGCTTCGGATGCACTGCGATCGTGCACAGCAAGAACGCCAAATACAACAGCAGTGACAGGTGACTGGTCGCCCCGAGAGATGCGGCGGGATTCAGCACCAAGAGAGTCGTCATGTGCTGCTGCTGACGATGAAGTAAACTCCACACAATTCTGTACAACCTCAGCCACGCGGCATGAGCAACCAGTCCATTTTACCTGCCGTCACACGCGCACGCACACTTGCAGCGAGGAGGAGAGGGCGGGACTGAGGGTTTATAGGGGGGCTCGCAGATGGCACTGCATCCCATATGCAGTTGTTTTGATTCCTCCGCACTCCGCACCACACCTTCACGCTTCTGATCCAAGGAGGTAGATTGGGGACGGGATCAAGCAACAAACAAGGGGAGGAGTTACCGGAGCTCTTGGTTCAAAGTCTTTGGGTGGTGGCAGAAAACGAGAGGAGCGTGTTGCTGCAAGCGAGATACCACACTCGCCCCTGCGACCCGTTTTATTCGTCGGTGAGTTCCCGATTTGTTCCTTTGCACCTTGGCTTGCCTTGGGTAACCACTTGCTTTTGGTCGAGGCGTGCTCAGGTGCTCATTCTATCTGGAAAGAATGCCGCGACCAGCTGTACCATTTGTCTTTCCCTTCCAATTATCGACCAGTGTGCTCTGTATTAGCGTTTATGCACGCTGTCGGTATTCCCGCTGTTGTTTCCAATCTGCGAGTAGAAAGAAAAGAAAAGAAGCTATCCCACCATCCACGTGCGTTCGCGTTTGCGGGAACGCGGGAAGCGCATGCTACAACAAGACGGTCTACTTTTCCGAACGAGAGCTTCTCTCACGCAGTTAGTTCATCGAAATCCCAGCAGCTTTGTCTATTGCACTGTGTGCACAGCAGCGCACAGCTTCAGTGCACAGCTTTCAGCAGCACGGCGTATTTTGAGTTCTATTCTCCCGCAAGCTCCCTGCGATAGTCTAATTGGTGATCGGAGGTGACGTGACTCTAAATCGCAGGCAGGTTGATTGGGTGTTTTCGGGATTGAAACTACGGTTGCCGTGTCGCCAAATCAACTCCGTGCAGGTCCCCTGAGCAATGGCTTCCACGGACCGTGAAGCACTGGTTGCCCTGTTTCGTTCGACCGGCGGGGCTGGATGGAGGCAGAGAGGCAACTGGGACACAGATGCTGCCATAGCGATATGGAATGGAGTCGAAGTCAACGACCAGGGCCGGGTGGTCAAGCTTTCCCTGAAATTGAAAAGCCTCCGAGGTGTACAAGGAGTTCTTCAGCATTTAGTCTACTGCTTGCACGTGCTTCGTGTGAAGATAAATGTGCTTGACCATCCCTACGAATTCGTGTAGTAGATGCCTGATTAACGCTTGCAGCTTCTAGAACACGCGGACACGTGTAGACTACTTACTCCCTGCACGCGTGGATACGTTTAGAAACAACTCATGTGTTGTTGAGAATTCCAGCAGCAACAGCCCTAGCAAACTCCAATTCTACAGGACCCATCCCACCAGGTATCAGCGCCTTGGAGAGCCTCAGCCTTGGCTACAACGAGTTAGATAGTGACCCCAGGACAGTCGAGCGTGAATTTTATTTCAACTTCTGGAGAAGCAAAATGCATGGATCTCGCCTACGCGTTGGCAGGACCGTTTTTCTAGACGCCGGGGGATTTATTTTGTTTTCTTCCGCCAACTTCTTACTTTCCCTTCGTCTGGCAGGCAACATCCCTCCAGAGCTAGGAGATCTCCGACAGCTGCAGACGCTATATCTCAACAGCAACCGCCTGACAGGTACCTATTTTATATTGATGGTCGGCTTGGTTTTTTTCTAGCATTGATCCATGGATGAATCTCGCCGATGCATACACGGGATTCATACTAAAATTCGATCACAAAATTTTAGATACTCACCGCTCAACTGGTTCCACCCGAGGTTAAGCGCTTGCAGTGCTGCCAGGTTCCCCAGCTCCAGTGGGATGGCACCTGCAGCGAAAAGACGAGACTAATTTATTCAGCGGGGGAAAGCACGAAAAATGTCCCGCCTTCTAGAGAAATGTTCAGCCGATGGCTTCCTTAACACCTACTCACCCACGCGTGGGTGAGTACGAAATTTCGCAATCTCGGAACTCGCGGGACATCTTTTGCTACGAGTTGCGTTATTTGAGTAGGTGTTTCTAGAAGCCGGGGCATTTAGCTTTGATTCTTCCCGCTACATTATGGGTACTGTGTTCTCGTTTTTTCTCCTTCGATTGCAGGTCCCATCCCTGTGGAGCTTGGACGGCTCGCCGTACTGGAGTACCTCAGCCTTGGGGGGAACGAGCTAACTGGTAAGTAATTTTGTTCCAGTTTCCAAGATGAATCCCGCCGATGCGTAGGCGTCCTCTTGAAAATCGAGAGGCGGGATAATATTTCTTGCTTTTTGGTCGCGCTTGATTTGAATTCGCCCTCCTGCCCGCAGGCCCCATCCCGCGGGAGCTCGGGAACCTCGCAGCGCTACAATACTTCAGCCTTGGATATAACGAGCTAAGCGGTGAGTTATGGAGCGCAACATGATTTTTGCATGATATTGGCAAATTCGGAGGAGACAAAAGAAAAATCTCCGCGCTTTCCGTACAAAGGTTTCGTGGACGCCAACTGCGTTGGCGTCTATTGACGCAGCACGCGGGATTCATGCAGGCAGAACTCGCAAGAAAACAGAACTCTTTTCGATCTTTTCAACTCACCATCTAACTTGTTGCCGGAGAGGAAGAGGTACTTGAGGGCGCCAAGCTGTCCGAGCTGAGGCGGGATATGGCCTGCAGATGAACGATTCAACGCAGAGCAGTTTGGCAGGGTACAGAAAAAGTTATCCCGCGAGTTCTGAAGTTTCGTGGACGCCAACGCGTCGGCAGGATTCTTATTTCGTGAACAAGAAAACTTTAAACTCTTGTTCGATTCTCTCACCTGTGAGGCTGTTGTCGTTGAGCCAAAGCATCTCCAGCCTACTAAGTGCTCCCAGCTCCTTGGGGA